TCTTCTTACTTTATACTCTCTTCCTAGGTAACGTCACTTATTCCCGTGGTTCAGTTGCCATCTACACACTGACGACTCCCAAATCCAGTCCAGTCTTCTACTTGGAGATCCAAACCGGCACACTAAACTCTTCTGCCTCCATTTGGGAACTGTCTTTGGACTGCTCAAGCTCAATATGTTCCAAACTGAGCTTACAATTTCTCCCACCCCACCCTCACCTGCTGCTATGATCTTCTGATATTTCAGTAAATATCAGGGTCCACCTGCCCATTTCCCCATGTACCTGCCTTTCTCTCATCCCCTACATTGAAAAACACTATGTTCCATCTACCCTCCCTCCCACGTATCTCTCGAATCAGTCATTGTTTTTCCCATCTCCACTGCCACCACCATAGTCCAATCACCACCATGTCTCCTCTGTGATTAACACTACTTATGTGGTTGTAGTCTTGATATAATCATGCATGGTGACCCAGCGATGTTGGGAGTTTGTGAGGAAAAGCAGTGCTTATGTGTGTATGGGATAAGAAGTCCTCACTATCATGATGGGAAGTCAATAGATAATGTCTAAAAATGATTAATCAAGAAATAGCAATATAAGTATGTAATTTAGAGATAAAGAGGTACATAGGAGGGGAAATAGAAGAATTGATGTGGTTGCCTGTGGGAAGTATGACTAGGGGTGAGGGGAGTACAGAGGACTGAAGTTTTTATTATAAGCCTTTAAGTATTATTACTACACTTATATAATTTTAATAAAAATAAATTTATGAAAATATAGTTGTTCCATGAATTCCTAATAAATCCAGATCATTAAATAAATCCCACTGGCTCCCTTTTGGCTGGTGTAACTTTAATACAATATGTTCGTAGCCCCAGAAATGGTTTGCTGGCCTCATGGAAGCAAGCTTTGCTGGATAACTCTGTGGTAGTCTGAACCAAGAGCTAAAAATGTTACCATGGAAAGTAGTTGGTGATAGTGCAGAGTCTTTTCTGTTTATTTAATTAATTAATTAATTAATTTTTGGCTGTGTTGGGTCTTTGCTGCTGTGCGTGAGCTTTCTCTAGTTGCAGCAAGAGGGGGCTACACTTCGTTGAAGTGCGCGGGCTTCTCATTGTGGTGGCTTCTCTTGTTGCGGAGCATGGGCTCTAGGCACGCAGGCTTCAGTAGTTGCGGCACGTGGGCTCCGTAGTTGTGTCACGTGGGCTCCGTAGTTGTGGCACACGGGCTTAGTTGTTGAGGCACGTGGGATCTTCCCGGACCAGGGATTGAGCCCGTGTCCCCTGCATTGGCAGGCAGATTCTTAACCACTGCACCACCAGGGAAGTCTGTCTTTTCTGTTTATTTATGAAATTTTCTGAAAATGATACATCATTTCAACTACTACACAACTAGAAGAGATTCTGATTCTATCTTTGAATAGTTACAACATTTTAAATGGTTTTTAAGTTAAAGGTAGCTCTACGTAGATTTTTAAATAAACTATACTAGAAAAATTAAAAAATTAATATAACAGAATATTATAAAAGAGTTGATTTTTATCCTCCCACTTCACTTTAACGTCATCCTTTTTGAACTCAGTAGAAGTGTGTAATGTTTATTATTTATTTATTTTTTTTTGTTTTGTTTTTTTTGTTTTTTTGTTTGTTTTTGCGGTACGCGGGCCTCTCACTGTTGTGGCCTCTCCCGTTGCGGAGCACAGGCTCCGGACGCGCAGGCTCAGCGGACATGGCTCACGGGCCTAGCCGCTCGGCTGCACGTGGGATCTTCCCAGACCGGGGCACGAACCCGTGTCACCTGCATCGGCAGGCGGACTCTCAACCACTGCGCCACCAGGGAAGCCCTTTGTTTTGTTTTTTTGACCACGCTGCGCGGGTTTGCGAGATCTTAGTTCCCCACCGACCAGGAATTGAACCCAGCCCCTCAGCAGTGAAAG